TCGTAACAAGCAATGCTTCGGCGAACACTTGGGTAGTGGCTCGTGTCCAGCCACTGCGGTGATGAGAATAGCCGAACCCTAACAATGCCTGGAGTTCCAGCACTCGTTTTCTTCCTTTCCGACCCCAACGCGGGGGTATGATTAACGTTGGCGGAATAAGACAGGCACCAGACCACGTGGCCGCTTCTGGCTCCGAGTTGAGGGGATGAACGATGCTCATATTTCTCTAACTTTTTGGCGACTGCCATTGCCTAGTTAAGAAAAGAAAAGCAAAGCCAAGTTCAATCAGTTATTAACGTTAGGGAGTGATCCTGAGTAGAATTAAGTGATGTATAGGTATCTTTTTATAGCTTCTTTCAGAGAAATACAGAGGGGGTCGAAACTTGGGCAATAACTTGAGAACGACGCTCGTGTGAGACTTACAGCGACTGCCATGGTTCGGCTGACCCTCTGAGGTCACTAAAATATATTTTTTTTTTTAAGTATTCCTTCCGTATACACATGTAGTTCTATCGAACGTCATATGAATAAGTCGCATTTAGTCATTTCAATACTTCTATTCTCAGCGACATCTTTCGGATGCAGTTCAGCAGCAACGAAAAAATGTTTGGGTGCCACAATGATGTAAAATTGGTCTTGCAACATTTTTTTCTACTTTCAATAAATACTGCTAAGAAGTAACCCCTGACGTTTATAGCTTGCAAAAATATGCATTAGTTTTACTCTCCGCGCAATAGCAGATGCAGAAAAAACAAAGAAAAAGACAGCTGTCGATCCCCTCCTCAACTCGCAATTTGAACAAGCGGCCGCGTGATCTGACGCTAATTATATACCGTCAGTGTATATCATAGTCATGCCCTGGGCGGCTAGGATTTGGAAAGCAAAAGCTTGGGCTGAGCTTCAGATATTTTTAGAGTTGGGCTATTATCATATTTAATTGACATGAGCCGTTACCCGAATGATTGACGATGCTGACTGTCAACAACCCGTGCACTCGACTAGGTGTTATGAAAACCGCTTACGTCACGGTGTCACGTGACTCGGTGAAAAATCGTGATGTCATGTTACGTCACGCTGTCAACAAGGCTAATGCATGTAGTGACTTCCTCAAATTAAATCGAGTTGACGCAGTGAGTCACGTGACGTCACGAGGTCACGTGACATTATTTGACAACATGTATTGACACCATGACGTCACGTGACAACGTGACACATGGTTAATCATAGTGCCAATACAAAAGCGCCACGAAAACCCACAATTTACCATACGTTGCCATTCTGTATATGATAATTTGAGCAATAGATAGAAATAAAGCCGTCAATTTTTTATTCCCATATGTTCATTTTGTGATACTAGCAAAAAATAAAAAAGATAAATTACCTTGAACCGTTTTGAACCGGTTACCGTTATATTTTTTTCGGTTCGGTTCCGGTTCAGTTCCAAGATGGCGGCGACGATTTCGGTTCGGTTCAGTTCCGGTTCGGCTAAAAATAACGGTTCTGTTCCGGTTTTCGGTTCGGTTCGGTTCCGGTTCGACACCCTGTGTGTGTCTTTCTGTAACCTTCACTATATATATATAAACGAATATGTGCAGATGAATGAACCGTACTTAATCCAATGAATCAAAGAATCAAAATTTTCAGGAACCCGCCGAAAGCCGAAAAACGGCGGAGCCAGGATTTGAACTCTGGGCCTCCCAATGTCCGGTCGGCCCAGAGTTCAAATCCTGGCTCCGCCGTTTTTTGGCTTTCGGCGGGTTCCTGAAAACTTCGATTCTTTGATTCATTGGATTAAGTACGGTTCATTCATCTGCACATATTCGTTTATATCCTCCTCGGAGACCACGTATGATGATGTGAAGTGCCCGTGTTGTATATATATATATATCAAGCAGGTGTTTTTTGAAGAGTGATAACACTGGGTCTTCCACAGCAGTCAAGCCAACCCAGTAGTAATGGGCTGGGTCACTGATCTGTGGGCGGGGCTTAAAACGGGCAGTGACCACCACCTAGATTGCAATAAAATCATCTGGTTGGCTAGATGGGTAAACATAATTAAGAAACAGCGCAAGGACGGCGGAGTCGTCCTTGCGCTATTTTTTTTATTTTTTTTTAATTATGTAAACCTAGATTGCGTCTAAGAAAGTAAATATTCCACGAAAAAAAGCCAGCTTTGGTGAACAAATTATAAAAAGAAATGGCTTTCATATTTACGATTTTGCGTGTCCAGCGTGTCCTGAGTGTCTCATGTTGTGAGTGACCATACTTTTGTTGTTTTTTGTTGTTGTTTGTGGAGCTGGTGTTGCTGTTGTTGCTGTTGTTGTTGTCGCTGTTGTTGTGGTTGTTGGTACAACTGGTGCATGTTTTTTTTTTAGGTTAAAGCGGTATTTGAGTATTTACTACAAAATTAATAAGTATGATGGGAAAAATCTGGGAGCTCCGTTTTCATAACCCTTGCGGTTTATGCTTTATTCACCGACTGATTTCTTAACGACGAATGAGTCGAAGTGGGGCTGTCGAGAGCATCACCTTTGTCGTTTTTAAGCTAATTATTTATTGCATTACTGGTGAGATTTCTACTTTTCTTGGGCACCATGCTCTGAAAATAAGCAACAGCAAACGTTTTCTTACATTTAGATATCCATCAAAGTATTAGACACTTAGGACAATCCAGCGTCACACGTACTCGCCTTGCATGTAGATTTTTTTTTAGAATAGGTCTACTATGTTTTTTTTTAGGTTAAATGTCTCATTGATATCATACACCCCAATACCACACAGAGTGCGCATGGCGGCTTTTAGGCTGCAAAACGAGCCGGAAAATTAGGTGCTTGCATATAGGAAGCTCAAACTTCCGCCGAGTGGGCACTGAGGTGGCAGATTTTACCGTGTGAAATTTCCAGGGTGTAGTTCTTTTTTTTTTTTTTTTTTGTATAAAATGAGACCAACAAACTCGCCAAAGTCAACAAAGGACGTTTTCAATATAGTGATGGAAACTTTTCGAAAAATTCGCTATCGATAGTATTGATAGTTTTCTCAAATTTATCGTAAGTGTCAAAAACTCTCGATAGAGGACTATCGATAACACAATCGATAGAGCTGTAGACAGCTTACTATTGATAGTTGACTATCGATAGTATTATAAATAGTTGACAATCGATAGTTGACTATCCGTACTGCATAGAAGTTTGGCTCTCGTTTGACTATGGATCCTGTTGAAACTCTACTTTCAGAACACGATTGAGTGCTACAAAAATAAAGCGCCCCCCAAAAATATGGTGACAACGGATATGACCGGCAGACAATGCGGGCTTCTGTGCAAAGCATGAAATAAAATGAAAACTGAACACAAAGTTGCATTATCATACAAAGAATTTAGGAAAAAAAAGAAAAATGGAATTTTGCTACTTTTTCAGCACACATATTATGCATATTCGTTTGGTTTAAATATAATGCTTCGCAATTTACTATGCCCGCGTTTGTAAAAGTAACAAGTACATTCGGTTTATTTTTGTTTTTTTGTTTTTCTGGCGAAGAGGGCTTGCTGGTGACATATTAAGCATCTCTGTATATCAAAAGTTTCTTTCGCGCTTGTGTTAGTTTTATTAATCAATTGTCACGTATTACCTTCAATAGTTTTCACTAATGACAGGTGAAAATGGGCATTCTGCTGGACATCACATTTTTTTTTTTTTTTTTCTGGCGAATAAGGCTTGCTGGTGACATATTAAGCATCTCTGCATATCAAAAGTTTCTTTCACGCTTGTGTTAGTTTTATTAATCAATTGTCACGTATTACCTTCAATAGTTTTCACTAATGACAGGTGAAAATGGGCATTCTGCTGGACATCACATTTTTTTTCTGATGATCATACAAGCTAGCTCCCGGAAATCGAAAATTGGCTGTGGACAAAAAAAAAAAAAAGTTAGGCTTGCTTAAAAAATGATCAAGCGCAGACGACCAGATGCAAATTAATCCCATTTTTCTTGTCTTCGAGCTTTCCTTTAAGTCTGGTGGTCTAAACATCGTGGTTAGACTTGTTTACCGTGATTTATGTACTTTTTGTTTGGTTTTATTTTGGAAGATATCAGTAACTATGGTTGGTAAATGATTTACTTTCTGATATAAAATGCAACTTCAAAATAAAGGACGCTTCAAATTATCAATAAACATGCATTTTTGGTCAATAAATGTCAGTTAACTTTTGTTGTGGACGCTTAATATTGAACGTTAACAAGATAAAGAGCTTATACCGAGCCAACATGATTAGTTACTGATGTTTTTTTTTTTTTTTTTCAATTCTTCAAACACGTTAAATCTTAAGGCAGAAGGTTAACTGGATCTAATATAAAACATAAAAATTAAACTTCCGTGATCCAAGTAACGATATTGCTTGACAATGAGGCATGGTTTCAGTATAAAAGCATGGGAATCTTAAATACTTTCTTGATTCCTTTCTTTGTCGCAACATGGTTGGTCAAAATTAACGCTACACCTATTTATTTTTTTTCATCCAGGTGAAGACACATCCCCAGGCTTTCGCAGTTGATCACCAAGCATAGTTTAGCATTTCTACGATGAGTGGTTTACCTACCAGGGACGGCAAAGAGATTTTCATTTTTCTCATTTATCTCCGTCTGTAAATAAATAACAAAGTGCAAACTGCCGTGAAGTAATTTATAAGTATCACACAGTATTCATCAACCTATCAAGAAAAATACCGTTATTTATCTAGGGATATATTTTATTCGTAGCTTATTTCTTATAGCACCAGTCGATAGTTTTTGTGTAGTTTATTGTCAGGTCAAATTGACGTCATGTGACCTCAACACCAATTCCGTTTCCCCGCTGAATTTAGCGGGAAAACTGTGACGTCCCATAATGCAACGCGCGCGGTTACGCCGACGCCGACGCCACTCAACCCGGAAACGGGCGCCTAAGTGCTGCTCTCTAAAAACACCCCGTATGTTTCATAACCGGGGAGGTAACGTTGTTTAGCATGCCCTTTTTACGCCAGGATATTGAAAGGCCACCATCAGGTGATGAGCGGCCGGGCACCATGATGTCCATGATGTCCAGACAAAAGGAGCTGCCTCGTCTGCCCGTGGCACCTCTGCACGAGTCGCTCACGCGGTACCTGGAATCCTTGGAGCCGCTGCTGAGTCAGACTGAGCTAGACCACGCCAGAGAGGTGAACACTCTGGAGGTGGGCTCGGGAAAATAAAGGTCACAAATAAGGGCGCTCACACCCAAAATAAAAGTTTGTTGCTTCTCACGCTAAAAGTTATTTAATGAAGTCAAAGGAACAATGACCAGCAAGCGAAAGATGCGAAATTAGGTCTCAAGCGATACGTGCACACATGCAGTCATATTACTCTTCAACGTGCTTCGTAGATATCTGTTCTGTAATTTTTCACGTACACACAAATATTCTTCACACGCAAATATTCACTGCAGACGCGTAGGCAGGGGCTCTTTTTCCCTGGCCTCTTTTTGTACATTTTCTTTGTTGTGTTTTCTTAACCGTTAAAAACTTTTATATTAACAGTTTCCTTTTTTTCTGTTTCTGAATTTTATTGTAATTGTATAATGTTCGTTTTTTAATTGGTTTTATACCTTTTTTATCGTGTACCTAGCATAAATTGCTCCTTTACTTTGTGTAACTTTTATTTTTTTTTTGCCTTTTTATAATATTTTTTTGGGATGTTAAAGCTGGGTTAACTTTTTGTTGCCAACTAACATTTTTTTGCTAAGAAATTGTATTCAAAATTGCTTTAACACTGGGACTCTTGACTAGATATATATCTTATGAATTAATACCTTGTACAACGATAAAAACATATTTTTTACTTGACTCCACTTTGACTTGAAATAATGGCGTCCTGTATTCTACCTTAGCCCTTTCTTTCTTTCTTTCTTGTAAAACGATGGCATGCGCTTACTAAGTTAGCGCACATTTTTCCGCATCGCATAGGAGGCACTTTTAGCGAACAGCGGTAAATGATGCATAATACGTTTTACAGAGCCTCGATGATTTTAAAAGGCCAAACGGTGATGGTGAAAAGTTGTATAAACTGCTCAGAGCGAAAGCTTCTGCAAAGAAAAATTGGGTAAGTTATGAATATTTCAATCGATTTACCGGCTTCGAGATACTACGTAGCAAAGACTCGTCATTTGCTAGCTTTCAGACTGGTGGGTGGAGGAATTCTTTATGAAGAAAAGGCAACCTGCGGCTTGGTATTATTGTCCAGTAACAGCGCTTCCAAAACAGAGGTTCAACGCAAAAATCGACCAACTCAGGTACTTCCAGCCTTGCATGCGCACGAAAAAGTTATTTACTTGAGTAATGGAAGACTTGAAAGCACTCCTATACGAATTTTGTTGCAGACACGCCGCCCTGCTAGTTGCTGGGGCCTTGCGCTTCAAACACCTCATAGACACGTACGTTTCAAATGAACAAAACCGGCTTAGTATGGTTACCGTGCATCAGTGCAGACAGTAATATGTTCTGTAAAAATATAAAATAAAATATTTGACCGTGCTTCGATTTGGAAACAGGCAACGCATGGAAATTGAAATGAAAGGAACGAAGCCTCTAGACATGTCGCAGTATCAAAGGATGTTCACCACGTATCGAGTACCTCTTCAAGATTGTGATCGACTGGAGCGGACCTCACCACCTAATGAGCCATCCAAAGATGTGCTGGTTATCCACAACAATCAGGTGACCCTCCTTCGAGGCCTTTTTGTTTCAGAAGAGTTGTTTAAAAAGATAATTACGGTAACTACATGATAACCTGTATAACTAATGGTGACAACGCTCCACTTCTTGCACTGAGGCAATTCAGAATCTAGCAGCACGCTTCATGATGTTTTCCTATTCAACTAACTTAAGTGTCCCCCTCATAAAAAGTTAGTGTTTTCTACCCTTGGTTCAAGTGCGTCGAAATATTTTTATTTTGTGCCTAATTCGTAAGTTTTATTGCAGAAACCGTTCCCCGAAGTTTTGCTCCCTCCACCACATAAGAGTTCAACCAATCGCACCACAAACAGTATGTTTTAACGTCTAACGTGTTCAACAAACACCTTCATCAAATCCTTTGTTCTACGTGTAATTCAAGCTTGGAACGACCTTCCCAAATCTCTAGTGCTAATCACTGAAGCCCCATTGTTCCACGAAAATCTTGGAATTTCTTTGTCAATTGCATTCTCATACTGATGTAGATTGAAGATGTTTATCTAGATTTGTTTGATCTATTCATTCCTTTTTCTTGTTACATTTGATGTGCAACCACATGCATTGATGTTGTTGTATACGTATTATTACCTATCACCTTTCTATTTCACGGTTGACGTTTCCCAAGTTTTTCGCCCCAGTATCGGGTAATATAAAAAAAATGTGTTTACTTCTTTAAATATTTTCTCTAATAAATTTTGAGCAGGGCTGCTTTTCACATAGTTTTGTACCTTCTTGCCTTGCGCGCTGCTTTACTTATATCTTGAACTTTTGTATTTTTAGACCCCTTTCCGAATGGTCTTAAGGGAGAGGTTCAAAATATACGGTTGAAATGTTTTTCCCTTTCCATCAGCATACTTGCACTAATGGGGTCGATGTCTACTCGCACACAACGCCATTGACAAAGGAACCTATTTATAGCAATAACATTTCAAGAATATAAAACTTCATCACGTAGATTGCAGGTCGCAGTGTTTAACATACCTCACCAGGTACGAAATTTGACTGTGCCTCAGAGATTCGACAGAATGCACCCGAGCATTGCACTTGATTTGGGCTGTGGATAATAACTCGACAAGCACCCAGGTAGTCCAATCGCTGCTATGACGACAATAGCCAAGCCCTAACAATGGCTGGAACTCAGCACTTTGCCAACAAATTGGAGGCATATAATTGACTCGAGATCACGTGGCGACTTTTTCTGGTTGCGAGTTGAGGGGAAAAACGCTGCTAATTTTTCTACATTTCTCGCAGAATGTTCGGCGTCGACGTCGGTGCCGGAATCGGCGTCGGGGGGACAAAAAAATCCGAAAAATAATTTATTTGCCTTAAAGAAAACTATCGAAGGATCTCAGGCGGAGCGAGATCGAACCAACGACCTTTCGGTTGCGAGCCAGATGCCACGCAGACGCTTTTTTTTTTTTTTTTGTTCACTAGGCTACGCAGACACGGTTCAATGACTTAGGAACGAGCGCGGGTTTCTATTTAGGTATACCGCCTTCCACTCTTAAAGGCAAAGCTTAAGCGTTCTCCTGCAATTTTCCTTATTGCGATGACTTTCTCAGGCGTCCGAGAGGTCGTCCTAGATGTCGTCCTTGAGTTATTTCTTGACGTCATCTTTGATGTCACCCTCTAGTACGTCGTCCCTGAGGTCGTCCTTGAGATCGCCTCAGATGTCGTACTAACTGTCCTTCTAGACGTCGTTTTTGACGTCGTTCTCTAGGACGTCGACCTCGTCGTCGTCCTTGAAGTCGTCCTTGAAGTGTCCTTGAAATCGCCCTGGAGGTCTTCTTAGAAGTTCTGTTAGACGTCGTTTTTGACGTCGTCCTAAACGTCGTCGTCCTCAAAGTCGTCCTAGCAAGCAGATAAACCCGCGCCGTGCACACACGGAGCGGCAATGGGTGGTTTCCGTTTCGACCCATTCCCAAAACAACCTTCCCGTTTGTACCTTCCCGTTTCGACCCGTCTCAAAACGACCTTCCCGTTTCATCCTTTCCCATTTCGCCCTTTCCCGAAACAACCTTTCCACTTCGGCCATCGTTCGGTTAGTTTGTATTGTTTGTTAACAGTTGATTAGGTTCAAGTGTCCAGTGTCTGTTCTTCTTGCTCACATCACTTCTCCCTCTCCCGAAACAACCTCGGAGACATGGCACCATAAGATAAACGCTGTGTCAGGGAGGGCTCACCCGAACATTTACACCTTCATCGACCAGCAAACGTGTTGATCCTTGAGAAGGATATCGCTGCAGCAGCTTGCAAATGGTGGTGGCGCGCGGGCCAGGTGACCGCCGCGAACTATCACAATTGGAGTGCCGCCTTTCTGATGGCGCGACTTTCCTTCTCGACTTCCTCAACCAAGGCGACAGCATTTTGTGGTTTATGATTTTTGGCTGTGTACGCGACGGTTCTGTGTTTGAACACTCTAAGAAAATGAAGTCGCAATCATGTGCCCGTCAGCCTGTCTGATTTATCACTTTTAAAAAGTATCCCGTTCACTATAAGGAAGTTTTAGAATAACGTACGTATGCGCTTTGGGTAACCTAAAAAGCGTCGCGATATAAAAACTTATGCAGCGCTAATTTTTGCTTACTCAAAGTGCTTGCCTGCGTTACTCAAAGACTTGATTAGGTGCTTTCGTAGACCGCGTTTCCCCTTTCGCTAAGCCCTCTGCAACGAACAAGCCGCTTCTGCGCCTGCGCGCCGATGGCCTTGACTGTAGAGTTCTGGGTACCGTAGCGGGTTTTGGAGGAGCGTCGCGTGACTTTGAAAACGGTCTACGAAAGCTCCCTGTTATTGTACAGAGCACGAAACCGTTAGCGCGAACAAGTGATTGTTGGTTTTAGCTGTTTGTCTAAAGAAAAATCAGAAGACTGCCATCAATATTACTAGTGTGTTTGAAAGTGTTTATCTGGGCCACTAACCTAAGCGGTAAAATGTGGTACCTTCTAATACCATTTCGAAGTAAAATTCGAAAAATCGCCAAGATCGTGTACGTGGTAACGTTGTCGCGGAGTGTACATAGTCCATTTTGTAATTACACATTTTGGGGACCCTCTTGAAAGAAACGTTTTAAGTGGTTCAAGCAGAAATATATTTCCTTGAAGCTTGTCTGAAAGTATTGCATATTTTAATAATACGTTTACAAGCAAAAATATTTCAGAACACAACTGAATTGCTCGCCTGCACCTTTGTATTAATTGCATTAACATGATTTTGGGACATATTCTTAAGCAGAAAAACTGCGCAAACCAGGATTAGAACGATGGACACTTTTTGCGAAGAGGTTGAGATGCGCGGGGTTTTATACCAATTAACGGGTTCAAACGGGACGAATTCAAACGTAAAATATGTCTTGGCTACGGGTTCAAATATGAAGGGCGTTTCGGGAACGGGTTGAAACGGGACAGGTTCAAACGGGAACGTAGTTTCGGGAATGGGTCGAAACGGGACGGGCTCAAACGGGAAGGTCGTTTCGGGAATGGGTCAAAACGGGACGGGTTCAAACGGGAATGGGTTGTTTCGGGCTACACCCGCAGCAATAAGCACACATTCCCATTAGCGCCAAAGCTACGAAGCAATTATCAGTTTAAGTAATTGAGCTAGTTGGAACTTGGTATATGGTCAATAGTGGCGGTGAAACATCTTGAACATTAAACGATTACATAGAGACAGAACAAGAAACACACACGGAGCTGCAGTGGCGATAAGGAAACGACTTAAACATTGAGGATTTACAAAGAGACAGAAGATTAAACGGTTACACAGAGACGAAACAATCACTTAATTTCGAAGTGGTGCTGATGTCAATGATTGAGTCGTAAGCCATTCATAAAATAAAGTGTTTACTCAAATATTTGCGTCGTCGTATTCACAGTGAGCTGTTTCGTGACTCTCATTATAAATGCTATCGCGATTCATAGACAACGAACAATAGTGGTTTCTGGAGTCAATTTTCTGCGTCTGACAACTGTGTGCGGCAAATCTTGCTTGTATACTTGCTTTCGACTACTATTGCACGAGCTGAAAACTAACCCGTGTTTCATAGGTTACAAACGTCACGGATTTATTCTCAGTGATATTTAGGCAAATCACAAAAATGGTTGCACCTCCCCTTTAGCGAGCCTCTGAGGCATTATGAAAATATAAATGAATGTATCTTTTGCGAGCCGCGCGCATGATATATGATATACGATATTGTTGTTGAAATGTTTTTATATTGTGGGATGCAGTGGCAACGTTCGCTTAGAAAGGCCAATTAAACTATGCAATACCAGATTCTGCGTGTTATTTTTTTTCTGTAGTATTTCACATTTAATGTCTACGAAACGGATGGATGCCCCATCGACGAACGCGAGATCCTGCAGCTGCTGCTAAGAGTTGTGGAAATGTCGCCGGAGGCCGATGTCGGTATTGGTATTCTGACAACGGACCGCAGAGACGTCTGGGCTGAATCGCACAAAAGGCTTTGTCAGGGTGAGTGGCATATCCTAAGATAGGGTTTAACATGTCTTTAACAACAACAAAAAAAAAAAACATTCGGCTGGTCTTAAATATCCAGGGCTTTGTTTCTATTTTTTTTCTTAAAATATTAAGGTGTTTACAAATCTGTTACCTGGTCGCTAATATGGCAGTCATTATGACAATTTTATAAGGAGCAAACATCCACACAAAGACATTGATTTCAGTCTCACGAGGTTTGAAGATCTTTAAGGGTGGACATTGACGTATATGAAACGTTCATGCGCCTTGAGAAGTGCAATTAAATTATTTTTGTGTTTAACAAACTTGCTAAAATATTCTATAAGACCTGTCATACCAGGCCTATATAGTTGACCACCATGCCAGACCTTCTATTACCATGCGTCTATATCAGAGTTTACGGAAAATTTATGACACGCAATGATTTACCTCTAGAAACACATATTCCGTTGCCAATAGGTTTACGAATCGTGCCCTTTTATACAGGTAACAGGTAACTCTCCCGACTCCAGCTGATACAGGCATTAACAACGACCAATAGCGATCGTTTTACTGTGCCGAATACAGATTCCAAGAACGCAACGTGTGTGGAAGCAATCCGGAAGGCCGTCTTAGTGCTGTGCTTAGACCGCCCACTGAACACTTCAGAGCCGTACGAGGTGGCCTGTCCTCAGCAGATGTTCATGGGCGGAAGGGATGGAGAGAACGCAGCCAACCGCTGGTGCGATAAGTCTCTCCAGGTAAGGCCTGTTTCTCAGATGTTCAACATTTTGAAGATGGGCTCAAATATTGTTTTCTTACCTGTCCCCTTATTTCTTAAACTTTAAATTAGGTGACACTATTAAAGGGACCATAAAATAAATTTCCCGACAGGAAAAAGGATTTTATATTGGGATGTTACTAATGGCATATCGCTTAGTGTGGAAAAACAAAAGAGGGAATAGAAAGTTAAACGCCAGACTTTCGATACGGAAATGTTAAAATATAGCGGACTATTTTTTTACTTTTTCTTTTCTTTCGAATGCGATCGGTCTGTGGTGCCAACTCCACGTCAGCCGAACCAAGCTCAAACACTGGACACGATCACCGCGTCACTCGGACTCTCGTCAAAAATCAATCCGTCGGTGATTATTTGGATTCGCGTTCGTGGCCGATAAGCGATGTAACGGCACTTATCGACTCCTGCGAATGACAAGTTTCATGGTGCGCTTAAAAAGCACGGTGGAAAATTAAAGTCATTGCATCCGGTGCCCAAAGACGTCACGATCACGTGATTACTCATTTCGCATTTTGAGTTGCGGATTAAAACTAAGGAGGAAGAAGTTGGAAAATAATTGCATCATCCCTTTAAAGGCTCCTCAGCGATCCTTAAAAATTTACTGTAATATGGCTAAAAAGTGGTTCAACCTCCTCAACTAATACGTGAAAAGAATCTTTATAATTCTCGAGTCCCAAAACGAACTGGTCGTTAGTTGTACAGTGGGTGTGTTCAGATAACGGCGGTCATAGTGGTGTCACACCTTTCTTTGTTTTTTTGTTTTTTCAATTAAATTTTTGTGAGGTGGAAAAGTGTGTCCACACAACGGTAAAAACCTTATTTTTGCAAGAAACTTTTTTTTAAATATATATTGGTGACATAAAATATCGCGCCTAAGGTGAGGTTGAAAACAGGACTTCCGAATTGCGAGTTGACGCAACTTTGAAGGCACCTGGAATAAAGAATACAATTGTCTACGTTATCAAATGTTTTACGCCGAACGCACACAAACTTTACTAATAGAATTATCAAATTTTATATTGCTTATTATATACTTAAAAAGAAATAAAGATGTTTACTTGGCTTTTTGAGCAAGACTTTCGTAATAAGCCATTTTTCGGCGAATTTCTAGGATACTTTAAAATAAAACCTTCAATTCGAAATATTTTATCCTGGGTAAACCATTCCTAGAGCATTTCAGAAAACAATATAGCGTTATATTACTGAAACTATATTTTTCATTGCGCCCAAAATGTTCCAAAAAATTTAAAACGCAAAACAAAGACGCATTAATTTTGTCCTTCGAGTAAAAAAACGATCATCGTCGATTTTATTGTCATTTTATTCGGTGGATCCTTCACAACCGGTAATTTCATACCTAGAAAGACATGTTGCATTATATTGTTCAAAATAAAAAAATATATAAAAATAAAAATTTGTAACTAGGTCAATATTGCAGTCGAATACCGTTGGGGGGGGGGGGGGGGCTATCTCCTAAACAGCTGTTGTCCAGTCGTGTCTATTCCTTTTATCGTTCTCGTTTTTTGAAGCTGTTACACCCACCATGTCTCCTAAACCTGCTCGTATTGACGCCAAGGCAGCGGGATGCACTTAAACGTAGAGGTATGTCACGTAGACACCTGCCGTCTGTTAGGCGCACTCCACGTATTGATACTAAACATACGCAAGTCAGGACGCTTTGGCCGCGGTCGCCAACGAGCCAAAAAGCACAAAATGCTTCTTTATAACTTGGACGACTCACTTGTAACCGAAACATTTGACATATCCTTGTATTGATACAAAACAATTGTGGTAGATACCAAACACTAACAAGTGAGCCCTTTTATGAGTGGTGTGACTGATGTTGCCTCTGAAAATATGGCTGTGCTACCCAGACTTGTACACGTGACTAAAAAAAGGAAAGGAATTACATTTACAATTATACGACGTTAACTTGTAACTAATTACAGTAACAATTTCCCGTCCATAAAAGTAAGTGACGGTTACCACGAAAATTAATCCGTTTTTTCCGCGGCGTTACTTTCTTCGTTACTGATCTAGGGTAAGACACTTAACACAAGAGTGTAATGGATGCGTTTGAGTACAAACCGCAGGTAAGCGATTTGGCGAGCAACGAGACAAGCGACGGCGACCCGCCTTGCTGTCGCTCGGTCAGTCGCGCGACGAGGGAAACCGCATGAAAGCGACGGGAGCAAGCGACCAAGCCGATGAGCGACGTTTTCTAGAAATCCAAAAACCGAGCGACGCGACGGGTGACAGTGAGAAACCTCAATCGCTCGTCGCTGGCTCTTGTCGCTGTCGCCGTCGCTCGTCTCGTCGCTCGCTAAATCGCTTACATGCCGTTCAGCCTTTGTTGTTGCCTCCAGTGACACTTTTGCGACTTTGAGCAAAAGGGCTCTCAAAAGTCTCGTCGAACGTCTTGCCTCGTTTCTAAGCGAAGATGTTGTCCGCTGCACGAATGCCATACGCACTGCATACTGCGTGCTTCTTGAGAAGAATGGAACAACTCTCTGACTTGATGAAAGTGCGAAGCTTCGTTGTTACAGTTACGCTGATAGAATAGCAAAGCTGTAAAACTAATAATACAGATAATCAAACCTCGAATAAAATCAATGTATGTGAATGTATTATGTAAACGTATTTTAGCCGGCAAATATCGCCAAACTGTAGTACAGAAAAATAGCAAGGCACGGTAAGTACGCATAAGAATTATATTATACATTATGTTTTTGTATCAATCTTACATTAGCTCTGAACACATGTAGTAACTTGGTTGAGACGTCGGTGAATAAGAAACGGGAGCTTTTTGGATACATATTTTTAGCAAAAATATTAGGGTCTCGCCCAGGAAACAAATATAATTTCGAATAAGACGGAAATGTAAACGCCTACCGATTCTTGATACCGCCCAAAACGCATGTAGCACGGGTCGGTCGTACTACAGCTCAGTATTCTTCAGCTAAATGTCAGGTGAGACAACGGCAGTGCCCCCCGCAGCGACAGCAGTAATTCTAATTTTGAGAAATACGAGATATATAAGAGACTTACTTCATACTACCACGTCTGGAAGATGTAAGCAAGCACCTTCATTTTGAAGCCGACCATCCAGGAGCTAGGGAGTGCGATTCTCTTACCGGGGTACCACCATCGCCGAAAGTTGCCGTATATTACCGACGACGTCTCCTGATATTGTAAAAAGAAAAACAAGAAAACATGAGGCACGAGACGAGTGACAGGGATGTAGGCAACCTGAAGCTTTTAGAAGATTAGGTGAAAGTCAGGACAAAACCAAGTAAACATTCGTATCTCCGACAAAATGGCAAGTGTTAAAATATGTTTTGAGTAGCATGCCAGTTAATATCAAATTCTTTTCAGTCGATTTTTGTGTCGGTTTATTAAGCGAAAAACGGAGCGTCCCCTCCCGTTGCGACATTTTGCAAACTGTTGTAGTCACTGCAACCGAGAAGGGCATTGTTAATTGTCTCGAGATTTTGGAAGGCACGCAGTCGACGATCGTTTTGTGTCATCTCCGCGTTCAGAAAAAAGGCGTTAGAAGGTATCGGACGGGAGGATACCTCGGTTCTGCAGCGCAATCCTGGGTTCGATCCCCGCCCCTGCGCGTTTCCATCTAGATGAGAACTGTAGTGGCACGTACTCGTGTGAGCACTACTGCGCGCGATGCACGTTGAAGATTTCAGGCTAGCAGTCGTACTGCAGTGGCCAAATTTCTCATCTACAGTGAAAATGCTGGCGCCACTCTGAGGCAGATTAACATTTCACTGTCTAAACATCCTCATCACAAGTTGCATTTTTTTTAACGATATAATCATCTGGAATTTTGAGTTTAAAGTTAAGAGGAGGAGTGCCATTCCTGCAGGTGAGACATCCGGGGGGTTGCAGGGTGTTCTACCGGGTGACTGCGAAGGGGATCTATGGGCGGCGGAGGCAAGACGACTTTTTTTCGGAAGTTTTTTTAAGGTCGGTTGTCCCTAGCGTTCCCTAGAGAAATTGATCAAACTATTTGGTCAGTAAACTACATAGATTAAAGTATTACATAGGAAATGTAGCGTGATGAAGAAATAATCAATAGAGTACAACACCCGAAAGGCCAAACACGATCCAAAGTTCAGTTTTCATAAACAATAACGACTGATAAAAAAAAAATTAAAAAAAACTTATTTGTTATTTTGCAGTGTCACATTGTCCCTGGGAACTGAGACGACCACAAGAGGGCACCTTGGTATGCGGCGCTCGAGTATCATTAGTCGTAAAAACAAAAAAATGAAAAACAAAACAAAAAACAATCCTAATCGAGTGCAACAAAGACCGGGTTACATCTTTTCTTAAACAATATGAGGCAAATGCTTCTGTAGATATGAAATTACCGGTTGAAGAGTATCTACCGGATAAAGTTAGAAAAAATCTAGAAGGATATTTTTTTTAATTGAAGGAAAAATTGATGGTTCTTTGTTTTTACTTTTTAACTTTTTTTCAAACATTTTGGGCTTAATGAAAAATATAGTTACAGTGGTAGAAGGCTATATTTTTCTTTTAAATCAACAAGAAATTGTATACCGAGGACAACAAATTTCAGGATGAACGTTTAATTTTAAAGTGTCCTAAAATTTCGCTGAAAAATGTCTTATTACGAAAGAATCACTCGAAAAGCCAAGTTCGCCCTATTATTTATTTTTAAATATATAATAAAATAAAATAAAATTTCCATAATTCTTGTATTAAAGTTGCTGCGCGTTCGGCCTAAAACATTTGATAACGTACACAACTGTATTTATTTATTTCTGGTGCGATCAAAGTTGCGTTGACGCGCAATTGGGAAAGTCCTGCTTTGGACCTCACCTTAGGTGCGATTTTATCTCACGAATACAAAAAAAAAGTTTCTTGCAAAAAAAAATATTTTTTTTTACAGTTGAGTGAACATATTTCTCTACATTATAAAAAAAATTAATTGAACACAAAAAAATAGGCGTGACACCATTATGACCGTCCTTTTCTGAACACACCCCGGGGGAGTTTAGTCTGCCAGAACATAGCGACATTATTACCCACTGTAGACAGGAAATTTAGCCGGTGCAGTACGACTGCTAGCCTGAGGTATTTAAAGTGCATCACGCACTAGTGATACACGACGGCACGCCGGTACGATGCTCATCCAGATCGAAACGCGAAGGGGTGGGGATTGAACTCAGGATCCCTGGGTTCCGCAGCGCGAGCTTTCACTCCACGTGCTCCGAGCACGTGTGCGCTTAACCACTCGGCCACCGATACTCTTGTAGAGTACCATACGGTAGTAAATGAACCCCAAATCTTCCAGTTCATCGTAGGTGAAGAAGGTTACAGCGCGCTCTTGTCCGACCACTCGCCCATGGATGGCCCAGTTGTGACTGCCTTGGTTGACCACTGCTACGATTACATGTGAGTCAATCTACAAGTCTGTATTTCTGCTACTTACTATCCAAAACTTCAAATAAACGCTCATTTTCGCAAACAATTTCTAGACACTCTTCGAACCCGTTAACGTTACTACAAAGTTAGTATGAGATCAAAAACTATTTTGAGATTAAAATTTTCTAGACTTTGGATTCTTTTAACTGAAAGCGGTCTATGAAAACCTCTCGCATGCAGTAGTCGAAATAACCGCAAGTTCCTCAAGTCAAAATCGCGACGACCAAGAGCTCCCAACTAGTACGCCACTTTTCTTATGTGTTGCTTTTAGTCGTGGGCTAAACTGCGTAACTTTAAAAGTGCTCAGCTCATCAGCATTCCCTGTAAGTGTGAAGCTAGCACGCGTGAGTTAAATATTAAAGTTAATCCTTTAATAGAGCACAGTGAATCTTTTAACAGACTTCAGCATGAGCATTTTGACCCAACATCGAACGCCTTAAAAGATATTCCGAAAAAGCTGGAGTTTCAACTAAGCTGGGAAACGTTGCAAGACATCGAGAAAGCCAAGGCTTCACATGCAAGGTCAGTGAACCCCTTAAAAAATGCAGAAACAAATGTGCCGTTTCAACGAAACTCTGCTTTAAATATTCGGCTCCTTTAGATACTTTATACTGTCTGATTTCCACTGCCCAATCTGATGGTCTGTCTGAATTTACACTGTGTGTGCGAGTGCGTGTTTGTGTGTTTCTGTGTGTATGTGTGGTCACTGTTAGCGTGTGTTTTACCTTCTTCAGCTCCTTTCTACTTCATGTTACTGCACCATTCCCTAACGTCATTATAGAAAGCAACTGTGTAGAATTTTGGGCCACCTAATACTAAATACAGCGCAATCAAATATGTTAAGTGTCCGAACGATTCACATGCAGGTTCAGGGATGAACTGGATGTGCTCATCTACAAGTTTCAAAACTATGGCAAAGACTTCGTGAAATCGCGCAACATGAGCCCGGACAGCTTCGTGCAGATGGCACTGCAGCTGTCATTCTACAAGTAAGAACGAGACGTCTCACACAACAAAACGTTTGATGCCAAAACATCTTAGACCGCGGCATGCGAATAAATTTATGTAAGCGGTGTGAGGAAACGCGTATTGAAAATAGAAACGAAAGTGATAAGCAATCGCCTGAAAGCATAAGTAGCGATATCGCAGCATGCGGGGATCAGTGTGAGCCTACGCCATCTCCCGCTACAGAACGTTCTAGCGTTTGACACTTTTGTTACACACTCGAACCTATAATGAGACACACAGAAGTGTTTGGCAGAATTTAGCAGACTTATGGCGACTTCGAAACATGTCAAGCCTAGGCTGCGAATGAAATCACTATCATGGGGACCACACGTCGTGGCATATTTATTGACTCAGTGCTCCATCGTTCTCTTCACATGCTGGAGTAGAAAATCTACACGTCTCGTACCTTAGCTATCCATCGCGTCCGCGCCTTCAAAGCCGAACCCAAAACTCCAATATAAAAAGCCGACACTAATCGCGATGCAACTTGTAGACACTGACAACATCGAAGGAGATGAACCAGACTCCCCAAGGCGAGTGTCTGAACGTAGACAAAACATTGCAGATAATGAGTAGTAAATTCTTATTAAAAGCAAAACACAAATGCCCTCCTGTTAAAGATAACGAATTTCTTACTTCGAGCCAGACCAACAATATAAACGGTAGAAATGCTTTCACCAAAAATCTACCGAGGGTTTTCAATTTTGAAAACCCTGTGTATGCTATCAAATAAGGTGCGGAAGTTACACTTGACCCATGGTAGGCAGGTCCTATTTTGATTGTGCTCGAACGGACATTCAACCAGACTGAGAATTAGTCCCATGAAAAAAAGAAAAAAAAAACCTTTGAGCAGCAGTAATCCCGACTCACTAACATGCATACAATTTTAAGAGAACAGCCAAGAATACCTGAGCGCGAGAGAAGATTATTGGTCTATGAGCTTAAAAATTTGTCTGAATTATCTGTGATTGTATTATCGACCCAAAGATTCATCTGTAGTATCTTTCAAAATGGCCAGGATGCACTCAAATAAAGTGTGCTTCATTAAAACCCTGTTCAAAAGCATCTTTTACGCCACAGTGTTACATATTTGCGCGAGTGATATAAGCACGATACACCGTCCGTGATGTACAGCGAACCTTGACAACTCTATTTTCTGATGCACTATGTTTGCTTGTTTCTGTCTGTTTGTTTGTTTTTCAGGATCCACAAAGTTCCATGCGCGGTGTATGAGAGCGTTTCAACGCGCGAGTTTCTTCACGGGCGGACAGAAGTAGTCCGTGGAACCTCGTCGCAGAGCCTCAACTTCTGCAGAGCGTTCGAAAGTCCGAACTCTACCAGGGAAGAAAAAGAGCACAGCCTCAGGAAAGCCGTCGCAAAGCACAAGCACGATGCAAATCTGGTAAGCCGGAGCGCTGGGCATCTAACTGTACTAAGATCCTAGTTTCTCGGACATCCATGACCACAGTTAAGTGTTGCTGAAGTCATACTTAACTGCGTTTAAGGGTGCCCGTGTAACGAGGGTACTAGAATGTAATCTCCTTCTCATCTCAAGTGTGTGCGAACCAAAAGCTGTTGCAAGAGCGATACCCGCATTTATCTTGAAATTGCTCCCCGTGCACACGCTGTCATGCGCTGTAAAATCCTGAACGAAGCTGCGTAGCTTCGACTGTGCTATCACTTATGGCGAAGCTGTGCATATCGAAACGAATTGCTTACGGCTGAGTTTTTGTGATCTCTTATGACGCGAGAACACTTTGGCACGCTAACATCATCTGTGATGCGTCCCTGGAACTCTGTTTTACTAGAGTGCGAATGTTTTGCAGTATCCGCGTGATCAAATGTACGCCTTTGTCTATATATAAAAAAAAAAGTATTTTTCGCCCACAATGTGCAAAGAAACGAAAATAATAGCTGTAGCACGGTCGCGCAATCAGGATGGAATGGTGCCGTCACGTACCCGAGGACGGAGGTGCGACGTGGTTATTTCTCTTAACCGTCGTGGTTGCCGTCGTGGATGCCACTGACGACCACCACCAGTGCTCGGTAATCCGTGAATAATAAGAATATTAATTTTGTTTGCGCATACCGGAAGGGGCACATGTGGTGGTGTGCGGAGCTAGGTAGACAGGTGAAAAGCCTTACGCAGAGCGCCTGCAGCCCGCCACCTCATGTGAAGAAACAAAACAGAAATATATATGTACAAAATATACACAACACAGAAAGTACACAAAAAGGAAATAAGAGAACGTGGGTAGGTAAGTGCGTTGGAAGTTTGTGGAAATTCTCCCTGCCTCGCGCCCTTCTTTGGCGGGACGCCCCAGGGTTGTCTCTCTCTCTCTCTTCGCGCGGAACGGCTGACGGGAAGTCCCGACTTCCCTCTACTCGCGCTTAGGGAAGAGAAGAGTTTTATTCTTCTTCGCGCGTGGTGACGACCACCGACGAGGTCAAAATCTCTGCGAAGCGTCGCCCTTAAAGATATCCCTTTAAAAAAAATGGTTGTTTATGACATTGTCAAACAAAAGTTTTCGAACCAGGAAAGAAAGAATGATGCGCGAAAAAATATGAAATGTAGAAAAATGCCAAATGTTCCACAGCTGCCCGATAGATGGGTAGCGGTGTAAGTGTCGATTGGCGTTTACACCTATAGCCAGACCTTTTCGTCACTCTCATTTGCAGTAGTACGCTATTTATAGTTGCAAAAGAATGCGCTATTGCGAGGCACACCCTTAATTTGTTTATGGGTGTAAACGAATTTGTAGGAAAGGGTGCTGCGGTAGAGTGCGAAAAAGTGACAGCATACCCGCTGCGAACATCTTTAGATGCATGTGTTTGTTTCAGCAACTGCGTGGAATTATAATTCCCTTGCCCTTGGCCAATGCCTTTTACAAAAAGATACGGTTCTTAAACCTCGATAAGTTTTATAACATAAAGTCTATAAAACAAAATACACGAAACATCATATTTTGTCTTTACCTTTTTAATAGTAAGGAAGTCGCAGGCCGTATCAGCGACTTTGAATAGTTGAGTGTCGGTGCAGCTGAAGAGGGGGGGGGGGGGGGGGGGCAAAGGGGTCGTGATTTTAGTGTCGTGCGCGCTTCAGTGCATCTGTATTTGTTGCTTTTTCTGCGTCTGACAACTGCGTGTGATAAGTCCTGCTTGTAAACTTGCTGTTTCTACGTTTCGTTTTACTTTAAGACCCACCGAAGCATGCGCTAAGACGCTTACTCCCCCCCCCCCCCCCCCCCCCCCGCCTTTGTGCTTTTTCTCTCGCCAACCAAACCGATCACGCGTCGTGAATGTGCCGAGATCCTGCACTTTATTTTTTTTTTCTGCGCGTGATTGGATTAGTTGGTGGTAGCAGACCGTCAAAGACATCGAGTGTCATGACAATGCACTTTTGGCGATGAATGATTGGCTCCACCGGATTGTAGCGTCGATCAGACTTAGAGTGAAACAAAGTATAAAAACATATCTTAGGATGCAGCTTAAGATCGCCAGCACTACAATATCTAGGTTTTCCACAGCAGCCAATGCTGTAGCATTTGGTTAACAGAGCACTCTTCAGGACGTAAAGCAAGATTTAACAACATTGAAGGGTGTAAAGTGTTTGATAGTGTGTACAAACTCATGTTTTGTACAGTCGCCGGCCATATGAGCTCCCCCGGCCGAACGCCGACCGGAGCAGCGAAAATCCCGCATGCGGCGCGTCGAGCGTTGCCGCGTTCTGGGAGCCAGGCTATTGGGACCAAACCATTCCGTTATCAAAGGGGTGGACGCAGGAAGTTTAGTAGCATTCCGCGTTTTGGAACGTGAATCTGAAGCACGGCAGATTACAATCTCGCTTCCGGTTGTAGGTAAACGCAGACGGCTTATCGAAATTCTTCGCTGCATAATATATGTGACATGTTATATGCTACTTTTTTATTTGCAAAACCGGTTTGTCATTTTAAATGTTTCCTACCCGAAGAGTAATCCCACGCACAACCTAGACTAGACAATGACAAGCGATTTTGAAATAATTTATTTAATCTATAGGGATATGCTATAAATAACAAAAAAAAATTTGTGTCGAAGCAGAATAAGATTCAGTCACTTTCATGAACGCGTTTTATCGAAAAGACTCTATTGTTCTGCGCTCAGTAGCGTGTTGCTTCGCCAAGGGTAATTATTTACACGATGACTTTGCAGATGGCTTCCTGGTCAGCCACTTCTCGCTTGCCGAGGGATCATTGTTGTCATGCCTAATATCGTATCAAACATAGGGTCTTTACATTTGTAAGCATCGATCGAACACAGCTGCTTTATCTACGGCTAAAGCAAGCTCCAGTTTATCAGCAGTTATACCATCATCTCCGAACACTTGGGGCCAACACCCGAGACGGCAATTCTAATCGGCCATGTTTTCGTGATTCACACTTGTAAAGGCTGAAATCCCGATAAAAGCTATGCGTCCACCCCTTTGATAACGGAATGGTTTGGTCCCAATAGCCTAGTTCCCAAAACGCGGCAACGCTCGACGCGCCGCGTGCGGGATTTTCTCTGATCCGGTCGGCGTTCGGCCGGGGGAGCTCATATGGCCGGCGACTGTACGTACAGTGCCCAGCTAAACAAAACGAACCATGCAGAACACCTGACCTCGCGCATATACAGTTGCTCTAGCGATGCCTAGAGTAATGTAAAGGCGGAGTCATATGGTTACTTTATACGCTATAAAAACTGTATATGCTCCTCAATTAGGGAATTATGCAGTTACTTAAGCGGGACCAAGCGTTCCGCTTGTAGTTTTTGTGTCGTTCAGCTCTGTACCTTGTTGCATTTGGCGTCCTCAAAAGTTGGATGTTATGTTACTGAAAACACAACCTTCGTCTGCGTGAATTACAACTAACAAACTTTCCTATAAAAAAAAAAAAAAAAAAAAAAAGAAAACATAACGCGCAATTTTTGGAAAACTCATCCCATTTTCTTCTTCCTCTCCCTTCAAAGGCGAGCAGTGGGCTCGGTGTGGACAGGCTCTTTTTCGGTCTGAAGATGACTGCGAGAGAACATGGAATCCCCCTTCCTCCCTTCTTCAGCGAACAAGCCTACCGTGTCAGCTCCCACTTTCGCCTCGCTACAAGCCAGGTGCGGTGACGTGATTCTCTAACGTAGCACCCTCGCGTTTACCATCCAGCGTGGCTCAGATATCAGCTACGCGGAACACCAGCCTCGCCCATTCACCATCCTCCGTCAACAAGAATTTCTTCGCGAAGCGCCATTACCTGCGTACCGCGCAACTGCTTCCTTAAATTGGCAGTCAAAATTTATGAGCAGCAGTCGCGCCTAATAATTCAAACAAGAAACCTCCGGTTTTTTTGTGTGTGTGTGTTTTTTTTTTATTGTTTTGTTTTTCGCCGGTACAGTGGTTACGTCCCAGCCTCCCTTGGGCAAGCAAACATGCAACATTGTTCGCAGTCATTCAAACAGCCCCTCGGACGCGTGAACAGTCCTCAGTAATACGTCATGCTCGCAACTTTACAGACTTGTGAGTTTGTCTGTCCTTTTAATTGGCACTTTCTTCAGTCCTGCCGTATACATCCCGATCATAACAGTCAGCCTTGCCTTAGTAATGCGAAACGTTCTTTCGCTAGGTGTTCGGCATTTTGTGTTTTGTGAATCCCAGATAAAAGCGTGGTCGCCAGGCTCGAATTGATTGACGATTGGGAGAGGAGGAGTGAGGTGCTCGACGCTGATTGGTTAACGGGGAGATCATGTGACCAGAGGGGTAGGCGAAGAGGGGCTCGACCACCTGTGCGCACTGAGGGAGAGGAGCTCGCGAGAAAATGGAAGAATCTGGAAGATCGCCATGTCTATCAACCCGATTAGCGGTAGTAGCGCTTCATTCTCGGAACAACTACCAAGCGAGCACGTGGTATGCGTTCAACTATCCGATGAAGAAGCGCCGTAAATGTAGGCGTCTAGCGTCTGGAAACTGAGAGTATCGCTAAACGTTTGTGACGCTGGCACGTCCTGCGCTTTTTTCTGCTCCTGATTGGTTTAGCCGGTGAAATCAAACGTACAAAAGCGAAGAGCTTCCGTGGCGAGGCATCCTTGGCGCTGCTCGACTGACGCCTTTAGATCGTGGCGTTGATTTGTCTCGGACGTGACGTGATACGAAGTTTAATGCCCACGCTGACCTCTCTGTCTTTAAACCCTTTATCATTTGCAATACTTTTTTCTCACGGGTCAGTGAGTGGTGGTTCTTAAAAAAAGGTGTATCGTCTGCGAGCAATGTCGGTGCCCTTTTATGTTTCCAGGTGTCCGCTCGGTGCGATGCTGTCATGATGGTCGCCCCGTTAGCCAGAGACGGCTACTGCGTCTTCTATAACGTCCTCAAGGATTCCTTCAACTTTGGCGTGTCCTGCTTCAACAGCTGTCCCGAAACCTCGGCTGTCCGGTTCAAGGAAGCGCTCGAGCAAAGCCTGACAGAGATGCGAAACTGCGTCGCGCAGTCAAACCCGGCTGTCGAAGCTCGAACCTAGCAACATTGAAGACAACCTGTTTGGGTCCTTCAAGTGTTAACCTAGACTTCTTGTATACTTTTTTTGGTGTGTTTCAGATATAAAATAAAACGTTATTTTATGGACATGTTGAGAGTCACATAGTATCGTGATGAAATAAACACGATGAAGGTTAAGATACTCGTAGTAATTCATAAGGATTGATCTATTGAAAGGGGCCTACGTTGAGAGACACGTCACACGTGTAATATAGAGTACCTTAATACGTAGGCTTAAAACGAACCCTGGAGCAAGCTGCATTTTTGTTGCAACAGAGGAGCTGCGGGAGCGGCCTCGCCCACAAGTTCCTAGAAGTAAAAAAAAAAAAAGCGTCACCACGAAACTTAATACAAACATACACTTTTTTCTGCCGTCACAAAAAAAAAAAAAAAAAAAAAAAGATATGCATCGGTTAACGCCTTTTTCTTTTCGAGATTAGTTTTTACAAAACTGGAGAATTCAATGCTGACGTATACGCCTGGAATACTTTCAGTGGCGATAGTCGAATGTAGTTGATGAACAGTGTTATTAAATACTTTAAGTGCATCGTACTTAAAGTACTTGATGATTCAAGTACTTTGTACTTAAAGTACTTTTAGAGCGCAGCTCTTAAGGGCCCGTTTCGGGCTTAATCGGCGTCGCCATCGCCATCGGTGTAACCGCGAGGTCACGTGAACCCCCTGGTCACGTGACCACCCTTGAGGTCATGTGACCTCAAGGAGTCACCTATCCCTCAGTACGCTTTCATCCTCCTCCTCAAGAGCTGCGCTCTAATCTGGCGTCACAGAGAATTGTAAACGGCTTTCATTTTTTCAAGTAGGCTTACAAAACTTGTAGTTTACTTGAAGTACGTTCTCTGAGTATACACTTTTACTTTACTTAAAGTTATTTTTTATTTTTTTATTTTTTCTGGTACTTTCCCAGGAAACTACAACCGCCGACTTCAAAGTACATTCCCCAAATTTGGTCTCGTCAATTTTGTATCACAAAATGATGCGTTGTCAAACCTGAAGAAATTTTGGGAGAGATATTCTTCTCTCACCAGAAACGTGAGCAGACGACGCGTCGCTCCGTTTGTTCTGGAGACTGTTTTCCCGTAGCCTTTTCGAACTCTCGCTACTCCTCGCTCGGTCAGCCCAAGCGAGGAGGTTAAAAACATTAGGAGAGGACAGTCAATCATAAGTTAATATTTGAGACTGCGGTGCGGAAAACTTGAGAAACTTTCGAATCTAAAAAGAAGGCATCAGATGAGAACGTCAGAATGTTTTTAGACATTATCTCCTGTCTTTTCCTTCGACTTAAAAGTTCCTTAATTTTTTTGCACGGCAATCTCAGGTGTCACATTATGAATCATTTCACCACCTAGCCTGCACACTCACTGTTTTTTTTTTTTTTCTTTAAAAAGAGGACACCTTTTTGCGAGAGGATCGCTTGCGGAAGCTACGGGGCTGACGTCATGGTCTCTCGTAGTACTTTTAACACCCTTGGGTGCAAGAAATCAGTGCAAGCGGCGCCAAATTCAGAAGTCCGAGGGACTGCTGAATTTGGCGGCATTTTTTGAAAATAACTACTTTATGGCCACTTGACTTTATCTAATATTCGCCGTCATTTTGGAAAATTGATCATACACCCCTGATTACCCTTGGGGTAAGGCATATCAGTTATAAAATGAATGTATAGTGGAATGAAAGGGCGCCATGGAAGAGTGTGTTAAAAATGCGTGTACTTTGAAGGTACATTGTATATATAGTACTTAAAGCACATTACACCCAGTGTACTTACTACTTTACTTGAAGTACATCACCGCTCATTTACTTTATACTTAACTTGAAGTGCTTTAGATGTGCTTTACCCAACACTGCTTATGAACAAACGAGCACCGTGTGAGCGCTTGAAATGAACTCGTGAAAATCAATGTTTCGGCGAACATTTGGGTCGCAGCCCGTCTACAATCGCTGAACTGACCGAAATTTCCGGTTTTTTAGACTACCCGGAAAGCTGAGCACGTGCCCCACAAATGGTATCACAATCCCTGCACGTGGCAGTAATGAACATTGGCGGCATGTAATTGGCCTCAGATTACGTGACCGCTTGTTCTGGCTGCCAATTAAAAGGGTAAACGATTTTTTTTTTTTTTTTGCGCAGCTTTCCTTGAGTGGAGAGAACAAATAATCTGTGTGTTTTGTTGGTTACGAACGCCACTGATTAATTGTGTTGTGTTCGTCCCCTTTTGTGTTCCTGAGTCTCGGGTTTTATTACCATGAATCATCACCAGCTCGCTTGTTTTTTAAGTATTATTGCAATTAATTCTAAGCCCGGTATTTACTGAAAGTACGAAAATAATGGGGCTTGTCCACTCCAACCCAAAGATTGGTGTTCGGTACTTCACGGGACGGTATACAAGCGGAAGCTTCTTGGAATCTCGCTCGAAATCTGCGATGTGACGGTAACGCCACTAGAGAAGCTACGCGCAATACATCGTGCACCCACATGTGAGTACTGCGACAAGCAGATGGAGCAATACAGACTATTTGTTACTTCTGTTTTTACCTGTCTCACTGGATTGTGAAACCTTGAAAGCGCTGTTTGCCATGGCAGATGTTTCTCAGAATCGGTTTTCTGTTGTATTTTTAGCTTATCTTTCGTATGTCGCCACGCTTTCCAACTGCGGCATGTGTCATGGAAAGTTTGCCTATATCCGCGCCAATTTTCAGCTGTTGTCCTATAGTTGATTCGCTCCGCGTATCGCATAGAGCGTGTAAGCACAGCCGCTCGATCAAAAACAAGGCACGGCCCGCCACGTCGCACCGCCGTACATAGGCAATGGAAAGATTGATCAGTTCACAGTATCTACTGGCCGCGTTGCGCTGGTAGTCGTGTACGCTCCGGGCGATTACGGGGAAGCGCGCTGCTGAGCAGCAGCGGAGAGAATGATCAGCGGAGAGATACCACGGAACAAACCAACCAGCGCCGTAGCTGTCACCAGAGCCGTTTATACTGAGAGAGTTTGGTCAATGGGCGGTGCTTGTTGCCCGCTAGAACCAGCGGATTTCGTGATAACATAATATGGCGTTACTTCTTTGTCTTGTTTATTCCTGAGAAATCGCGTAGAGTTCCTATGAGTCAGAGCCACAAAATGGCGGACGGAAGCAGTCATCCCCCGATTGTCAGACTACGCTGCTGTGGTTGCCAGGCTGACAAAATCTCCTTAAGAAGGCCAAACTCTCTCAGTAAACGGCTCTGGCTGTCACCATGAGAGTTTGGCCGGTGAGTGTGGCGACGAAGGTGCAGGAGAAGAGAAAAGTGAAGAAAAGGGAGGACAGCGCCGAAGGAGCGAGAGAGAAAGGAGAGCAAAGAGGAGACGACCACCATTTGGACGCAACGCTGTCGGCGCTGACCACTGTCACTAGCAAAGGCAGTGGTAACACAATGTGATGTGGTAGTCTAGAGAAAGTGGGCACACATGTGGAGGCGTCGTGCCTGCTATATTTCCATCCGCGCAGCGCGGCACCTGCCTGACTGAGGTGGACGCGCGGTTGTTGACTGTTCGTTGGCCGCGGTTTGGGCCGAAGTGTGAAGGGCCGGCAGATGTACACGGCCGGGGATTATCGTGTGCACTGCCGCACGCGGCACTTGAAAAGATCCTCTGCCGCTATGAGATTCCAGCGTTTCCTGTAGAGAAAGTCCCGCTCGTTTGAGGACCTGGGATAACCCCACAAAGGCTCCGTGCCAACCGCTGATCCTCGCGGCCTAGTTTTGTCGTGCACGGTAAGCGCGTGAGCGCTCCGTGAGTGTGTCTTATTTGTGGGTGTCCTTCTGTGCGGTGAGACTGTAGATGCCAAGTTCAGATGGGCTTGTTGGGCTATGAGACGCAGTAGGCTGAACGTGTGGAGAGCAAGAACAATGAAAACGCGGCAGCGCCTCAGTGTGCATAGGTTGCAGAGATGCTTCCGGCATATATCTTGATAGGGGTCGCCTGGATTATGGGCCAGATTCGTAACACAAGCAGCGAGGGGGTGACGAAGCGTTTCTGCCTCTCCGCCAGCATATCTCCTTCCCCCCCCATGAGAGTGGAACGCATGCGCATTTACGATGAATATTCCCCCAGAAGCTTGAGGAGGCATCCGCCATTAAATTGTATGCACCCTCTTTATATTTTCAATCGATCCCTCTCTTATATCTAGGCGTTCTACAGCGTTGAGTGAAACAGTGCACAAACTGAGCTTTCTAGAAGGATACAACACAGGGGCAGTATATTACGGCGTTCCGTAAAAACGCCCGATTCGGACGTGCTTCTCGGTTTCGATTTCTTATCGGAGCGCATCTCTGCGCCCGCGGTCCTGCTCCCCAGTGGCTGAGACGCGCAACACACGTGCGCCCAACTTCCCTCCATGCTACGAGGGAGGCGAGGGGGTGGCTTCGCGCCGCGACCACCGGGGGCAAGGACCGCAGGCGCTCAGATGCGCTCAGATAAGAAACCGAAACCAGGGAACGCGTCCAAATTGAGCGCTTTTATGGAACGCCGTAACATGCTGCCCCCTGCTTTATACCCCTTTAAAAAGAATGGTTTTAATGGTTTTCGATGACGCTGAGCAAGTTTGTAATTGGAACCATATGTCTATTTTCATTAATTAAAAAGTTAATTAACGAACTTTAATTAGCAACTGATGGTTACGATTAGCCCCCTATACTATGTCCCAGTGGCCGTATAACTCACCTGCACAAACCGCATAAGTGTGACTTTCACGACTGTTTTTAAACAAATTTGTTACAAAAATAAACGGCATTCTAAAAAAAAATGTATTCACTTTTCTATCTTCTATCTGTAGCTTTTTGGCCGTTTTTTAGACGTTCTATAGACGGGTAGAAATTGCACACATAGAAAACCGATAGAAGCAACGTTTCTATCACTTTTCTACTGCCAATAGGGCAGTCTTTCGCAAATAAAAAAAACATAAATGGTGAACATTAATTTTAGGTTCGTTACACTGCATCCCTGGAAACA